AACTTTTTTTTATCAAATCTACACTATTCTCAACATTATTTTCTGACTTTGGAACACTTTTTGATATCACATCATGCAAAAAGGTAGCCAAATCATACATAGGACTATCAATCGACGAAATAATTAATCTGAGAGGCACATTCTGTTTATGTATTTTAGGAAGAGCATAGGTTCTAGGTAAATTGCACTCACTACAAAATAATCTCTTATATTAATGTTGGTCAATATATGTTTTCTTTTTCCATCTTTGAAGCAATTCCTTTACGTTATTAGCAGGGTTGGGTAATGCTAAATTAAAAAGTTAAAAGTTAAGTTAAAAAGTTAATTTTAACTTAACTTTTAGTTACATTTTAGACTCCTAACTTTTTAACTTTATTTAGTTACATTTTATCAGTAACTAATAACTTTTTATTAATTTTTTTAAAGTTAAGTGTCAGACCCAATACGAGCCACACATAATCAAAGATACGAATTCCGGCCGGCTTGTAGCACGTGATCAGCGCCTTCGGTGGTACTGATCGCGTGTTGTAAGTATTATAGATATTCGCATCATTGGCTATGTGTTATTACGCCAGTCTGTTCTGTATTGATAAATGACGCTGTTGATGTCCTGCAAGTAGAGACTCTTTATTGTCCGCAAGCGGACACGAGTTTGCATCACTGGTTCTAACTTGAAGGACTTGCAGCTTGCAATAGCTTGTAGTCATTTGTAGTTTGCTGCTGCATTTATTCGGTTCTAATAATAAGAATATAAGTATTAAATCGCTTGTTATATTATAAAAAAACAACAAAAGTAAGGTGTTAATATTCGGTATAAACAAGCAACAATTTATCAGTTGACAAATTTATTATAAAAAATTCATAATTAAACACGAAACGTTTCGACGCATACTGCAGTCCTCTTCAGTCTCAAATACATAAAGATATCGAAATACATATAATAAATCAAATAATCTATGAGCTATAACACAGATGTCAAATGTTCTCTCTTGGTCAATTGTAAAATAAAGGAAAGAAAATTGTCAAATAAAGCTGTTTTCGCATCGTGATTCTATGGAATTATTAATAAAATTAGGATTTAAATAGAGGATAAATAAAACCAAACTAAACATGAAGGTATATCTAACTTACGTAAATTTCAGATGCCCATGTGCAACTTTCTTTTCTTCAATAAAATTATTATATTATTACAACAGAGATACATTGTGTGTAAAAGACAGTCGTCAGAAGAATAAAGGAAATTATGATTTTAGCAATTCGAAATGTCAAACTTATTTATTATTATGAGATATATCAAAACAAAATATTATATGCTTTGTCTAATTTTTTCGTGTCATTTTGGGCATTAATGCCATTCTTCTGTTCTTTGATATAAAGCATTACTGAAATCAATCTCTTGTTGTAATGAGACTCCACATCCATAATTTGAACATTATTTCAATCAAATGAATGTTTATATTGAATGCAATGTTCAGATATTACAGAATATTTCAATGGATCACCTCTCAAATTGCGCTTATGTTTCTTTACTCTTGTAATCAACTTTCTTTTAGTTTGTCCAACATAAGACGAACTGCAATCACTACAATTAATTTTATAAACTATATTATTCTTTTGTATAGTATCTGTATTGCCCTTATGCACTTTAATAATACTACTAAGTTTATTAATACTCCTCAGTCCTACTGTAAAAACTTCTTTATTTAAATTAGATGTAATGTAATTTGTGATATTTGGAATGAATGGTACAACAAAGAGTTTTTTATCAGGAAGGTCCATACAGTTACTATTATCAGTATGTGTGTGTGTGTGTGTGTGTGTGTGTGTGTGTGTGTGTGTGTGTGTGTGTGTGTGTTCCAATTAATTTAATTTTACAAATAAATTCAATTCTTCTTTGTATTGTACTAAAAATTAATTGTAGAGGATAATTATTATTTAATAACGTTACAATATGCAGAACTCAATATTCTTAGTATGAAATTCATAATTAGATAGTAATAATGCTCTATCAACCATGTTATATATGACACCAATCTTCTGTGATAAAGGATGATTTGGTAAATAAGATAAACATCTATCAGAAAACGTATCCTTATGATGCCAATCTATTTTTAATTTGTTGTTATCTGCTTTTATTGTTAAATCTAAATAATTCAAAGATCTATTATTTTCAATTTCTACCGTAAATTGAAGTCTATTATGAATGTTATTAAAAGTTTCTACGACTTTGTTCACCAAATCTCCAGGAACAGTCATGATAATGTCGTCAACATATCGAAAGTAAAATGAATTATTTAACCCGATAAATTTGTTCATTTAACTGACAATAATTCACACAAGACTAACGAAAAATGGTTTATTAATTTTTTCAACTGTGACTTTCCTCCTTCTGTATCCAATTTAATTCAATTGGGAGAGAAATTCTCCCTTCCGTCACATATTAATAAAAAAAGATCAACCAGAGAATTTATCAAAGATTTTGAAAATTATAATAAATGTCTCAACGACAAGTGTAAATCTAAACTAAGAATAGATATTATACCAAAATTAAATAAATTTACACATAAAATAACAATAAAAATGTTAATAGTATTAATAGGGAGTTGTGTCATATGTATAAAAAAACTATTGAATTTTGCAAAGATAATCCTAACCTTTGAAAACTAACAGCAAAAATTTGATCCTTCCTAAATTAAAACGATTACCTAACCACAAAATAGAAAACCCAATAAATTTCAACCTTTGAAAATTATCCCCAAAAATTTGAACTTTTCTAAATTAAAATGATTATCTAATAATGTAACATAATAATTTAAACCTTAATAATTTAAATGATATTATCTAATATAATATATGACCACGAAAAGTAACTGATATATTATACTGTGCCAGTTCAAAGTGAACATACATTATGTTATTTTCTATGTTATGTACCACGAAAAGTAAATGAAAACTACAAAAATTGAACCTATCAAAATTAAAACGATTACCTAATCACAAAATAAAAAACCCAATGAATATCATCCTTTGAAAATTGACCCCAAAAATTTGTACCATTCTAAATTAAA